CAACATCGCCCCAACATCAGCAGTCGCGCAATTCCCAAAGTTGCGCCTGATCGCAAGGGACACAGTCCCTTCAAGTGTAAGACGTTTGCCACCTCGCGTCCTTTCAATTTGCAAAAGCTTGTCATTGCCTGTGTTGTCCTCTGCTTCCTGAAGTGACTTGCATTTTGCTTCCAATCTTCTGCATTTTTGCCTCCACATTTTATTGACATTCATCAATTTGGAAATGCGCCTCTCAGATTTCCTTTTCTCCTGCTGCGACTCCTCGGGCAAGTTGGTTTTCGTGTGTCTACCCCGTAATTTTTCGAATAGCCAACTATTATTGATTTAATTCTTGGTGTAATGGTGTTTCCAAAAGTTCATATGGGTCAATCATCCCGGTTGGTTGCGCAAAACATCCACAAGGAAAACTATTATGCCTTTACGCAAAAACATTGCTCCGGCACAAACACAAAAGTTCAGCCAAGGCGCTGATCTGAGCTTCTGCAATTCATCCTGTAGTTCTTGAACCATGGAAGTAGATGCAGAATTCCCAACACTAATGCTGCTTACTTCATCAGAAAAACATTGGGTTGAAGCCCGTCCAAATGAGTGTCGAACATCTGCAGAATCGTTTTTCTGGTCGGGTAATGAGTCCAACATCTCAACATCAAGATGACGTCGCATCGATTCGTCTGAACCCAGTGATGTGTCCTTAGATGCTTGAATAAAAAATAAGTTATCAGAAACGACTCGCAGTTGGATTTAGGTGTCTTGGACTCCTGAAATAAAATCTACATTGAGAAAGGAAAAAGATCCCTGCCAAGACTTTTGAAAGCACAAAACCTAAGTAACCCTACCAAAAGTCAACCGCGGCATTCAAGCTGTCATCCTCTCCATCCAGAGACATTGCTGGAGCTATTGTAGAAATCGTCTCGTGCAATATTGCCAACCACTCCGCCGAAGTTAGCGCAATTGACAAGACCCGATGCAGAAACAAAGGCACGATACCTGCATCATAGTAACCATTCCTCAATTCATACTGCAAAGCTTCGTCCGATTGTAAAAACCAACCAGCACGGCGTCTGACAACAGACTCGGAAAGACCTTCAGGACATAAATGAGAAGTCCTGACCACGGTGAATTTATCTCTTGCACGCGCCATGACCAACTATAGAAACAATAGACCATATTCTGAATAAACACTTTTTTGTTGCCAGTATTCCCATTTTTTAATGTGAGACCCAAAATATATCGTTTGAAACCTGTCCTCGTCGAGTCAGTGACGAGTCCAAACAGCCACTGCAAATTGTGTTCTTTGACACAGACGCGTGGACCATCAGCTGAATCCACCACACGGGCTGCCACGAGTAGAAAACGCAGCACCGCGAACATCATTGAAACCCCAACAAAATTCTCAACATCATGTCTCCAGCTCACACCCCCTGACTAGTGCAAACCAACATTTTGAACGATACAGTCCTCAATGGTTTTAACCAACTCCGAACTAGCGCATGTTTTTGTTTGATTGTTTGCACACTGGGAATACCTTACCCTTGAGGCATGTATTATCGAACCTTTCTGCGAGCAAAATTTGCAGCGGTGTTTCCTTGATGGAAACGGTGTTCCTGAAGGCGGACTGGTTTCAAAAAACAACTAATCGTTACAAGGTGCTTGTTGTCAAGTCAACCCGACCTGCGGTAACACCCTCTCATGTTCGCTCAAAAAAACTTACACGTAAACACAAATAGCCGCCATGAACCGGAGGCTTTTCAACTTCATGGCGCTAAACGGGCTTCAAAAGATAGTGAGTTACGCACGTCACAATATATATATGTAAAAATAATATGACAGGTGCTATATACGATGTGATGTGGTGATGTGATGATGAATGATGATGCGTATCCGTATCGACTGACAGGCCCATACTGTTTCATGGGTAAGAAGATTTAAACAAATGTAAAGAGAGTAAGGAGGCAACCAAGCCTCTGAAGGTTGGTGGTTGCTGGTTTTGTATCATTTCAAAGGAGGAACACAAAAACAATGGAATAAAGGACCAAACAAACACAATGTTATGAGAACACCGCGGGATCAGCACTAATACTGAATATAAGACTCACTAGGATGCTAGCATACAACCACAAGCTCCAAAGTTTGCCAAAGCGTGGTCGGGATGTGTGACCACTATAAAAACGGCAGAGTGATGAACAAACAAGGGGAGGCGACCAGTTTCTGCATGCTAAAATGCAGCATTTCCAAGGCTTATCTCAGCTACCCAAACACAAAAAACTGGGCATTATATCACATATATTATATTTGTTTATATGTGTTTACTTTGTGTGATCCCACCAACTGACATATATTCTGAAACATTGATCTGGCATCATTTCTGACACACTTTGACAATTTGCCAATCTTATCTGACATTCTATCTGGCACCTATACTCTGAAATGTTCTGACATTATATCTGATATTCAATCGATGGCGCAATTAAAATCTCCACCTCGCATCTTTGGGGCCCCTGGGCCAGGAAAAGCTCCATTTTGATCAAAGTCCGTGGTTCTTCACCCAGGATTACCCACATAGTATCCATAGTTGCCATGGTTGATTTTTCACCTCAGCATGGTGAAAATGCGCTACTGTATTCACTTCACTAACATGCACTAATTTTCATAGTATCCATAGTTGCCATGAAATGTGAAACAATTATTGATTTTCATGGTATTTCATGGTTATTAGTGGTTCATATGAGTATCCATAGTATCGCTTAAAATCCATAGATGCTCCCTGTGCCCAGCTGCTCCAGAACCACCGAAAAGATGATGATTCCTGGCCAAAGGTGTCCCCAATGAGTGATGCCAACTGGAAAACATGTACCTCACCATACCTCAAAAAACTATTTGACCTGTTTCAAATATGTACCTCAAACTGCAAAACAAGGGATAAGTACAGTTGACATGTTCTCATCTATCATATCAAATATCATATGGGCTGCGGTATCAAAACAAAGTGATCGCTTTAACCTACTGCGACTTTTGCGCACATATTCCACTAATCATCAGTGGAATTTCACAGGGAAACCTGTGTGAATATAGTTTTTTGCGTACCCCATTCCAAACTTGAGGCTGTGGTTAATCCTGACCCGCTGACCTCATGGACCAGGTGTCATAAGCGGTCAGTCTTCAAAGGTCCTCCATAGGTATTCTGAATACAGGTAGTCTTTAATAAAGGTAGCTATGGAGGAAATTACCTCACAGTCGCAATCTGTCTTTATAGGTATTTCGAATAGGTAAATTATACCCTCCGGTAATTCACATAGCTATGGACAATCAGCCTTTGCAATAGGTAAATTATTGTAGTGTAATTGATCTAATGTGAGTAACCCCAAGCCATGAACGACCCATATTTTGATGTTTCATACTTTATACCACACAAAAAATGCACATCTGGGGATGGCACACTAGTGAAATTAATTACATGAATTTACCATTTTCAGTCATGTGTTATGTTGAAGTTCCAGGTCCGTGCGTTTTTTTTTAAAGATGCTACATCTCTTACCTCTTGACTTGGGAGAACATCGGCAGAATCCGTCAAAAGAGGCCGAGTTTCCTGCACTCATAATGATTTGCATCCAGGCAAACCTTGAAGCCAGAGGGGGCGAGGTCGAATTTTTGAATTCGTGGATTTGACCAAGGAAAAAAGGGGGATGGCTTACCAAACAAATGGATGCTTAACCGGCTAAAAACATAAAAAAACAAAACTGAGAAAATGATGCGGGCAGTCTGCAGGAAACAAACCCACTGGCAATCAAACAGTGTTAAAGGCTAAATTGTTCATATTGTCCATAGCATTAAGAACCGCTGGAACCAAAGCATATGTTTGATTGAACTTTTTTGAACCACCAACAGTTTCCCGCAGCTCCCGTTGGATGTGGACGAATACATTTCGGAAAACCGTGAAGAATCACCGAGGCCCCAATGATGGGATCGCCACCCTATCATCAGGTTGAACACAGTTTACTTGTGGGTTGAAGGAAAATTTTGCCGGAAAGCAGTGTTTTCACCCTCAAATATACCCTCTGGTAATTTAACATAGCTATTGGAAATGGCCATTTATAGTTGATTTACCCATTAAAAATGGTGATTTTCCATAGCTATGTTAGTTTACCAGAGGGTAGGTAGGGTTTTCCTGTAGATTTTCACTTCATCCAAGTCTTGAAATTTGGCGGCTCCAATCTCAAGGTGGGCCTGTGAAAAAAGTTGGTTTATAAACCCCGTGAACATTTATATCCCATTATCATCCATTATCCCCCAATAAAAATTACAAACCCCATGAAAAGTATAGATTTATATCCCACGATCCTCCAATAAACCAAAGGTATTAAAATTCTGTTCGCCAACTGATGGTTTGGCTATCCTGGGTAGCCATCTTGCCGGGACGAAAGCTCTACAGTAAAAGCTGACACATGACATCCATCCATTCAAATCCCCTGTTCCATCCACTGGTGAATCATCTTTTTCAACTTTTCAACAAAAACGCAATTATATTGGTATCTCCTCCATTATCCAAAACAATAACATGTTGTTTACCAATTATTAATCATCATTATTATGTTCAATCGCATGTCTAAGCGTTAATAATATGAAACATTAAAAAATGTAACTCATGAATAATCTCCAACAGATTCTTGAAATATATTGGAGATTATGTGATAGAAATCCTCAAAATAGGTCATTTACACTTATATATCATCATTTATTTACCAACCCCTGATCCTTGATCCATCATCCGAACCCCTCGTTCCATCCACTGGTTCCTCATCCTTTTCCCTCTGCATCTATACATCCCATACAAAACCGCCATAATTCACACAATTCGCCCCCTCCCCCTCAATAGTCCACAACAATAATGACTGCTGGGTCTATTTGGGATATACCTATTGGAGTCACAGACCAACTCATGACGTTTCGGGCTTCCTTTAGTTCGATGATTTTCCCATTAGAACATTTATTTACTTCAGGGACTTCCCAGCTTGCCATGGGCTGATTTCCACCGCAACGCGGCTAGTATATTCCAATCTTCCCCAGAAGGTGGTGCCCCAAGTGATGTTTGTTGATTTAAAAACCATAGAAAGTATAGATACATCTACCATAAACCATAGTTAATCTGGTTGGTGGTATACCTGCCCCTCTGAACAATATGAAAGTCAGATTGGATCATAATCCCAACTATTGGGGAAATAAAACATGTTCCAAACCACCAATCAGTAATGGAGTTATGTTTACCAACTTAGCTAACGAACTGGGGCACCACCTTGCACGATGTTCCCATTGCCGTTGGTTTTTCATCATTTTACCCTCTGGTAATCAGCTCCATGGCTGGCGGCAAAGGCCTCCATGGCTTGTTCAATGTGTTTACCCTTGAAACCTCCATGAAACCTGGGGGATTTCCAACTGCCATGTTTGATTACCAGAAGCCATATTCTTCCTATATCGTCCCCATCATTTCCACTGAAAATCCAGAATGGACAAGGGATTTGCACATATTTGGGACCATTGAGAGGGTGCTTAATATCTTTTTGCCTGCGCCCGAATATTCAGGGGATGGGGTGCTTCCCATTGTTGTAAAGCCACCAAAGACATTGATGAACCAATGGGTCAATCACCAATGACGAAAAACGATGCCAATGAAAATTCCATATTATTCTGATGACTGTGAGTTAAATCCATCCTTTAAACCATGCTTGCTGAAAAACCATGGTTAAACTATGGTTCAACGCCGAAGGCACAGTAGCGTCTCCTCACTACTCTGCGAATGCCGCGCGTGCACCAGCATCTCTGCTACAGAGATCAAGAGCTGTGCCGGCACCGCCGTCAAGGTGTCGATGAAGATCACCTGGTACATGTACCCAGTGGAAGCTGTGGAAAACGGGGAAAACATCGAGACATATATGGGAAAATGATGAACACATGAAGGAAGATGAAAGGAACATGAAGAGAACCATTTGAAGAACTAGAGGAATATATGACATTATGATGGTGACATATTCTGATATCCTCTGATATCCCTGAATCCATCATGGTTCTCATTCCCAAATTAAAAATTATAAAATCATCCTTCCTTTCTCGCTCTAGTCTTGGACATCCTTCAAACAATATCTTTAATCTAGTAGACAATAAATGTGTGTGTGCGCACGCGCATACGCATATGTATATTGCGCATAAGCAAACATTCAGGTATACAGATCTAGCATGGCTAGATACAAATTGTGGACATGTTGCCCCACCCATCCACCTGTTGAGTGTTGAACAGTCAAGTTGCATGGGATTAGTGGGGCCCCTAGTCACCCAATCGTCTTTAGTGATTCCTTGGAAAAAGGTATATTGATGTGTAGGGATAGTTGAGTTGTAACTTCGTTCGCTCGGGACTATGGCCAATATATAATTCTTGTTTATAACTAAGTTAACTATGTATAGTTTATTGTAGATAGATCTATATAGATATCTATAGTAACCTATAGGAATCTAATTAATGTAATTAATCTATGTATAGCAAGCTAGTATGTAATCTATAGTAATATTACGGACAGGCGCTGTGTGTTGCCCGGAAGATTCAAATGGCGTTTAAACATGTTCAAACATTATCCTTCAACATGCTCAAACACCTGCGCGGGACCAGTGTTTTGAGATTTCCCAGACGACGAGCCCTAAACCCCAAAACCCTAAAACCCTAAACCAGCCTAAACCCTAAAACCCCAAACCCTAAAATCCCAACATCCAAACCCTAAAACCTAAAACCTAAGCTCTGAAAACTTTGAATCACTGGAAAACACTGCGTATACGCAGTATTTTCTGCAATCTCTCCTATCATATATTCGACTGGTAATTTAACATAGCTATTGAAAATCACCATTCATAGTGGATTGTCCCATGAAAAATGGTGATTTTCCATAGTTTTTTGTATGTTTACCAGAGGGTAGTACTCTATAGTTCCTTTGCTTAACCAACAAAGGGCCCCACCAGGGCCCAGGGCCCCACATCATCCGAGGCACCGACATGATCATCCGAGAGCCTGAATTGAAGCCCTGGTCAATGACGGCCCTGCCACTCTCCACCGTTTTGGAGGATGACTTGAAGAGCACAAAGAAGAAGAAGGACGTGTAAAACCTCAGGAAACCACCGGTTCATGGCTTGATAAACATACTCAGATATACTGAACTGATTGGAGGCCTTCTAGATCGTGAAATGATAGTGAATGGATTGATCAATGATTGATCTAACAGAAGATTTACAGGAAATCGTCATCTGATGGTGTTTTTGCTTGCACTGTGACAGTGCTATACTGGGGTTTACAAACCCAAGTTATATAGAGAGCCGCCATATTGATCATATTGTAGGCATTTATCATTCAGGATGGCGCTAGAAAAAATAAATGACGGAACAAACGTTTTTTTTAAATAGGGAACCCCGTAAAACGACCCCAACACTTTTTGGTTGTCCCATGTGATTTCGAAGGCCTTGTTGTTCTCACAGCCAAAGGCACAGGATGTAGATTCCTGGTCACGGAAAAGGACGACCACCCTAGTTCTCTAGGATTTGCTTAAGGTGGTCGAGAAACATCATGTTCCCAGTATATTCCCTGGTGGATATGCCGATGGGAAAATCATGGAAAATAGACAGACTCAGATATTTCTCATATTTCTCCAGCTTCGAAGTTGCTTTGGTTTCATCCAATTTCATTTTACCCATCCAACTGCAGATATGAGATATCCACCGCAAAGCTCGGTGATGAGTAATGTCAAGCGTGGAAATCCATGGGAGTAGACCCCTGCAGACCGATCAGGAGACTGGTGACATCTGGAGCGAATCTGGTTTACCGACATTCCATGTATCAGCTGAAGGTGCCAATAGCAAATGCGCAAAGAAACCTTTATTCCATGCACTTCAAAACTGTTATTTGATGGTCCACTTAATTGCTTCGTCTACATCTTAGTCTACACTTTTTCACGCAGTGCCGTCCAACTGGACTCAGACAGCGCCAAGCGTCCCCTCAAGTTCATGGCATTGAGTTTCAGTTTCTCTTTGCATACAGAGTGATGGGCCACATAGACAGATGCCATAGAAAAGAGGGAGAACATCTCATTCCATGAAGGGTTCCTCAGCGTGCGCAAAGGAAAATTCTTTGGTGGTTGCCTGGGGGGTAAGATGTCCCATGTAGACGTGACCCTACAGAGATATTATCAACCATCAGTTGCAACGACTAGTACCCATCAGCAAACTACACATATGTTCCATGTGATGCTGACCAGGATGTATAGCAACCCCAAAAAGAACACCGTTTCCAGGATGATATAAAGAAACTATTCCACATATTTCACTAAAATCAATGATTCCACCAGCACCAACAACATCAACAACGTGAAACCACGACAAGTCAACGCCTGAAGTCCATTCGTGTAAATCTTCTGAAAACTAAGCAAAGTTCCATAGTTATGTCGTGATATGTTGTGTTAGACTACCAAATTTGGTTTCATATACTGTGATTTTCCTATTGCATATCAACAAAAATATCTATGGTGAATTTTGCTGCTACTTGTCCGGTCAGGACTGGAAAACATCGCATCCCCTGCCTTTGTTCCCATGTTTTTTATCATGGCAATTTCGAGGAGGAAAACCAAATTCTGGGAATGTTGCAACATGCTGCAGCGCCGAGGCTCAAATAAGTATCATGTATCATGCCAACAACTCCGAAGGCAGCCGCATGCACCATAAACCTGGCGGTTCAAAGCGTGCCGTCAAGACATCCCAATTTTGAACCTGAGTTTTCAGCTTTCATTGTGACAAACCCTGCGCCACAATGTTTTTGTTTTTGCTGCTTGTCGGTCAATATATAGCAAAAATAAATTCATAATTCACACAAATACATGTATATAGGCAGATACATAGACAGATAGACAGATAGACAGATAGACGGATAGACAGACAGACAGACAGATAGATAGATCGATAGATAGATAGATGGTTAGATAGATAGATAGATAGATAGATAGATAAATAGATAGATAGATTAGATAGGTAGATAGATAGATAGATAGATAGCTAGAAAGAAAGATAGATAGATAGATGGATGGATAGATAGATAGATGGATGGATAGATAGATAGATGGATAGATAGATGGATAGATAAACAGATAGATAGATAGACAGGCAAACACATGTAAATCAACGTTGTCCCCAATTTGGACACGAAAAAACTGCCTTGATTCTTCTCGCCAAGAAACTGCACGGACTGGCGATAGGTCCGCGCACGGACTTCCCACAGTGCCTCGCAAACTAGGCCATGGCAATGTCACGACAAGCAATATTGTATGGTTACTAAGGTTACTAATGCGGGTAAAACAATGCCATAAACCAACCATTTGGGAATTGTTTATACCACATATTTATGGTGATTTGGGGGATTGTTTATTATAGTTTTAATTACCAGCAATTAAGAATTTTCTTTTTTGACCCAAAACATCGAAATTTTGTTCCATTGAAATCACTTTTTATACTTCGAGTGACCCCTCCGTGACAAAGTTTAGTCATACTTTCCGACGTTTCATCTGGGAGTATATATGGCATAATTGTTCTGACATTCTAGGGTGTGCCCATGCCGGAGGGAATGTTAGGATAGATGCCAGATAGAATGCCAGAATAGAATGTCGGAATGGAATGTCAGATGGGATGCGGTCCGGCAGTGCCCACTGAATCTGGAGTTCGCGGTTGAAGTCCGGCAGTGCCCACTGAGATCTGGAGCTCGCTGTTGGGAGGAGGAGGAGGAGGAAGGTAACTAACTAACTCTGATAAAATCTAGAGACCCTCACCTGGCAGGTAAGGAAAATCAGGCGTTTCTCAAGATAAATTATCATGGAATTCGCCCTTTGCATTTAATTCAACATAATATTTAATTCGAAATAACCATGAAAAACTACCAATTTGTAGATGGTCTACCCGTCATTTCCACTGCCATTAGGCATGGCCATGAAAGATTGCCAAAAGAAAAATGGCAACCATGTAGATCCCCAAGAAATTCTAATATCACATCCTGTTGGCTGGTTATATCCCATGATGTTCCCATTGAATTTGGGGATAGTAACCACCAACAATGACCAAACATAATAGCCATGAGCCAGTATTGTCTTAACTCTTTTGGGATCGTGGCTTACCCAAAGGTAGCCACGAATTAAAGTATTGATGGCCAGCCCTTTGCCTCCCGATACTCTTGCAGCCCCCATGATACAAATAAAAAAAAATGCATCTGGGTGTAGATAACAAATCTATCTGAGTAATTATAGTGAACAATTCACTGATCTGAAATATGGCTATTTTGGGACAGTTACCCCTACTAGCCATCACACACACACACATATATATATATATATGTATATATATATATATGTGTATATATATATAGAGATATATAGAGATAAATACAGAATAAATAAAGATGCAGATTGATGAATAGATATAGATAAAGATAAATAAATAAAAATAAATAATCATCATAATATACGGATTATGATGTGTACAGCTGCATATTTGACACCACCAGTCCCAGTCCCCGTCACTGAATCTCTGGCGTTCGCCAAGTGACGGCTTCCATTTGCTCCCGTCGTTGCTGATGTTCACAGACTTTCGCCGGGGGCGGCCAAAGGTATCCTGAGGTCCCACGATGTTTGTCACCCAATCTCAGGGTCAGGTGTCAATGGTCAGGTGTCGCAAACTGCAAAAATATGTTGCTTGCACCATTGGCTTAAAAAATCCAAGAGTTGCAATTCACCAACACAAAAATGGGGAGAACAACGTAGCTTTTCCCATTGCCTGTAAGCCGAGCCGGTGATAATGAATGGCACCCAAGTGCGCCCTTGCTTGGGTCATATCAGCCCTCAAGCAACTGAGGGATCATGGATGTTGCCGGCTGCATCTTTTTTTTTCTTAGCATCGCCTGATGCATCAACTTCCACAACGCTGTCTGTCATAGAGTCTGGCGCTTGAATGCCATTTGTTTCAATGGATACTAGCTGGAATACTTCAGAATTCCGTAACGACTAGAGGCTGGTGAAGCAGGTCAATTGTATATGTTATCTATCATGCAAAGGTTGAACAATTAAAACGCTCCTGAAAGCTAATTCCCACGCATCCATCACACATTGGATTCACTTCTTGGACCGATGGATGCCAAAAGAGACTTGTTCAGCATGGTCCACAGATTTAAACCAAGCATCTGACGGCAGACTCTTTACAAAACCTCCAGAGCGTAGTCACAAATGACCTCGATTTCATTCAGGGTTTGAAGCTACTCATCATAGGCATTTAGATGCATTTAAGACATTTGGTGGCTTCCGGATCGAAACTTGTTCTTTTTACAAGCAACGAGTTGATGGGGGGATGTTCATCCACCCAATTTCAAGGTAGTTGTTAATCCAAAACCCTCGATAAGGAGCCCTTGAAAGGTGCAGGATGGGTACCACGTGTGAAATCTGCTGGTTTCATCTGGTTTCTACAGTTACTGCTCACCCTTGGGCTTCAGCAAAACTGCTGCAAAAAAAGCAGCTGATCTGGCTATAACTCTGGGGATTTCCGGTGAAATTTCCGGTGAAATCTGGATGTTTTTTGGTTGTTCATGTCTTCACCGTTGATTGCCCTTGCTTCCGGTAGTTTCGAATCTCAGAAGCATGTTTTCTTTTTTAAAGCTGATTATAGAAGTTCAATAATAATAGTTCATCTGTATTCATCTGTAGTTTCCATTATCATTGCCATCATCGAAGTTCAAACCAACTTGAACCAGCATGCAATCATAGACATATCATATATATGTGTGTGTATATGTGTGTGTGTATGTGTGTGTGGAACATCTGAAAAGATGTAAAACTTCCTGTTGCTTGATGATGGGTGATTTTCGTGGTTTTAGTTTTTGAATCATTCTTGCAGGGGGACACAGCATTTCACTGGGACTGTGTCCAACGAAGCTACCAGTGAAATGGGATATCCGGCTTGGCCAGCTGGACGTACCTGCATCAGTTTTATTTCCTCGTGATGGGACGTGGCTAACCCAAGAACCACCAAGCCGTTTCATTTGTCAACCATTTGCTTTGTTCAATCTACTGCACTGTTGTCGCAATCTGGCATTATTTTATTTTTATTTTGGACTTCGCTGCATCAGAACCTTCCTCAGAAAGCTTACTTCGCACTGAAATTCACGCTGGATCAACTAATTTTTCCTGGCAGTTTGTAAGGGATTGTCTTGTGCACGTATGATGCACTCCACAACAAAATTCGCAATGTTGTTTCTGAGCAAGTGTGTGTGTGTTGACACACATATATACACTTAGGACATCAAACTTTTTACGATGTTCTAAGTATCTGTCGACCTATATAGATGGATATAGATGGTGAATTAGCTGATTCTTGAGCCCTTGGCCAGCCCTTGGGTGCCACCCGAACGTCCCATTCTCCGCATTCTTGCTGGTTATATACCATTACCCTCTGGTAAACTAACAGTTTGCTATGGAACATCACAATTTTTAATAGGTAAATCAACTATAAATGGGCCATGTTCAATAGCTATGTTAAATTACCAAAGGGTAACTTTACGGGCAAACACCTCGTCTTTGACCGTGCTTGTCGGCGGCCATCGTCGTATGTGCTGAAAACGTGGTATTTTTTTTTTGCATCATGGCTAACTTCATGTTGTATATCGGCACGCGCACCATAGGGAACTGTGCAAGTCCCTTACACATCATCACCATCATCATCATCATAATCTTATTGAAGAATGTAGAAGTTTAACGGGGGTGGGAGAATTAAACACTTATTGAAGATCTTCAATGAATGTAGAAGTTTAACGGGGGTGGGAGAATTAAACCCTTATTGAAGATCTTCCATGAATGTAGAAGTTTAACGGGTGGGAGAATTAAACCCTTATTGAAGATCTTCCATGAATGTAAAGTTTAATGGGGGTGGGAAATTTATATTCCTCACATACCCTTGTTGATCTTTCCAGTTGAATGTAAAGTCTAATGCTTGATATCCCCAAGTGTACAGCATAGAAGGGGTGTGGGCGACACGGGGTGTTTGCGCGTAACTTTAGTATTAGTGTAGTTCTGTTGTACTAAAGATATAGTATCAATATACTACAGTGGTTGAGCACAATAACAACGACCCTCCGGTGTCATCAAACGTGGCTGGCTGAAACATCCACTGGAATTAGTTCCAGGGTTTTCCAGCCACGTTGGATGACACCGGACATATATTTCCACAAGGTCGAATTTGTGTAACACCATGTAACATCCACTTTTCATACCAGAATTCTAACAAAACGTGGCTTGTAAACCAACTTGCTTGGCTATGATGAGCTTGACTGTAAATCCACATTTTTGTTGATTAACCCAGCTATATAATTAAGTCGTTATATAAGCCCATCTAAATCACATTTTTTTTGTGGACAAATGGGATAAAAACCTCTAACGTTCGTTCAGGGGCTCACTACCTTGCAACCGCCCATGTCATCAAGGTGCTGAATATCCCCAGCATAGTTTGACACGTGCTGCGTCAAAAACACCGCGATGACCGCAACCGGTATCAGGCCCAACATACTTAAACGGATACCTGGCGCACGAGGGGGATGATGCGGTGAACTATGGGAACACCTGCCAATCACAAATAACAAAATACATATATATATATATATGTATATATATATGTATATATATATATATGCATATAGATATGGATGTGAAAACCTATGTTACTTAGGGGATCTTAGGGCTAGTTCTTTATCCTTCACAGCCGTTTTGATCATGTGTTGCAAGCGTCTGTTGATGAAACTGTTGTTTCCACCTGTTTCTTCAGTCCGATTCAAATTCAGTGTGCAGCTGACAGGTTTTTTGTTGATGAAGCAAGCAGGGGCAAAGATCCAGATAGCCTAGGTAACTAGGACGCTTCAGCTCAACATCACGATCATCCCTCAATTTTGGAACTTAAAACCTCTTACAACATATACAAACCAACTGCGTGTGTGTCAAAGATAGGTTAACGCGTATGTCCAGCATGCTACGTATTTCCAAATGCACATTCATTTAATTTACTCATCCTGGAGAAGATAGAATATGCACATATAAAACAAAGATCGGAAGCTACGTATAGAAAAACGCACTCTACGGAAAATATTTCAGGATGTTGGGAAAACTATTTTGTCATTTGGTCCTGCTTTAATCTGTTGATTGTTTTTTTTCAGTCTCGAAGCAATCATTTCACGGGAAGGCCCTGGTATAACAATTGAGAACGCTCGCCGAGACGTAGCCAACAACAAACCCCTGTTGAAACAAGTTGGACGTTCGAGCTCTATGAGACTAGAATACTAAGACAATACAATGCAATACAATGTGCGCATAGGACTAGGACTATAGGACTATCTAGGCATCTCTGCTCAAAGAAGATAGGCACGTGACATACATCACCATCGACATCGTACGAGGAAACCTGAATTGGTGAATCTGGCGCCCAAAAGATATATCCTACAAGGTAGTGCCCCCTACTTGATGATGTATTCGCTTCTACACCCTTTTAACATCTTGTAACTAGAGAACAAGCCTCACGGTGCCAATAATCATGGGGGAGGTTCAGATGATCGGCACGTCAAACGGTGCCAATAATCATGAAAATCATCGACATCCTCTATGAAACCAAATTTCCAGTTAGCTCGCCATTCTACATATTGTCTATTCATTTCTTATGATGAAATCGCCATTTTGGTACATAGTCGACTTGGTAAACCGAGTCGCACTTCTGTAGCGAGGCCCTCTTGCCGGCGTCTCGACCGTCTGCTGCAGCCGTGTTTCGATATGAGAGTGGCTGCGGCTGCGGCCGGTAATGAATTTCTGGCCACTAAGAAATGGGGAAATAGAGTTTCCAAATCTACCCCAATCCAAGATAAACCTGTTATGCTCCAAACCAAGTGAATTTCTTTGCAAATTATGAGAATGATATCAAAGCAGAATGGCAACATCGGGGGAACAATGGTTTGCTTTTGTTGAAAAGATTTATAGGGAAAACACATGTTTTCACCCAGCAAAAAAAAAAGGTGGTGATCTACCAATCGTACTGAAGATAAGTGGCTTGATTTTCCAGGTAAAACGGGTTGAACATGGTTGAACTCATCAACTCATCGCTTGCTCCCAAAAAATCCAAGTGGTGGTGTCTGGCTCCTGCCAATCTTCCGCAATGCTTGGAGACCCCTTTAATAACTTTAAGTTGATCCCAAACACAAAAACAGGGAGATACAGGGAGAGATCTCTGAGAGTCTCTGTCTGATTTAAGTTGCATTTTTTTCGCTTTTGTTTACGATTTCAATCTTTAGTTTCACTTCACTTTTGGTATCCACTAAAGATTTGATCCTGGATTCTAAATAACTATTCCATCAAATTTTGCAGCTTTGATTTTGCAATGTTTAGTTCATTAACCCTCTGGTAAACTAACATAGTTTTGGACAATCACCATTTTTTAATTGGTAACTATAAATGGCCATGTTCTAAATCCACATATTGTTGTTGCCCCATCCAAAGGCCGGGAACATCCCAAAGGGCCCAGTTTCCCAGTTTTGATTGGCTGAATTGGCTGAATTCCCATTGTTGGTCCACCCCGAACAGGCCTCGGAATTGTCCTTCACAAGGCCCACAAGGTTTAACTAGGTTGAGAATACCACACAACATGGAATAAACGCCAGTTTCTTGGTCAAACATCCCCCCCAAAAAAAAAACGTGTTTCTTCGTTCAGGGACAACGCACGGTTAAATACGTAGAGAATTTGTTTTTGTTGAAAACTCAACCCAACAACAGGAAACAAAAAACACGACTTCTAGGGGAAAAAAACTATGTAGAAAAAGAACTTGCACACATTCAAGCATTCAAAAAATGACGGAAAGAAATGCCATATCTTGATCCCAAACCCTGTCCCCTGCAGCCTGGGACCGCAGCCTGGCTCCCCTGCAGCCCCGGCCCCTGCGCTGCCTCCTGCAAATCGGCCTGCATCTTTCGGCTGTCACGTCGCCACTCTTCCTGCTGTCTGTCTTGCTCTGCGGGCTTTGCGGGCAATCCGGAAGTGGCGAAACCAATGGATGGACCTTAGAAACGGACATTGACATAGGTAAGAGAACATATTAGGAGTGAGTAGGTCTATGAGTTCATGTGCTATGTCTGTCTATGTATTTATGACACTATCTCCATATAGTAGGCTTGAATCAAGAACACCATCATCCAACTGATTAAAGTGAAAAGGAACCATTTCGGCTAGCTACCCCTTGTCGTTTTGGATGCTTGGATGTTGTTGGCGCTCGACCCACGCCCGAGCATAACCATGTCCAACCCCCAAGGGGCACTAAAACATGAAGGCAAACATTTATTAGTGCGGCGATCAGAAATTGCCCCCAAAACAAAGCGCAAAGCCTGCAACATTGGTGGCCTTGTAGAAACTGCATATATACTCCGGACAGGCACTCACTTGCGCACTGGCAATTTCACTCACTTGCGCACTGACACAGCTAACAAGTGGCCAACCCCCTGCGAAATCACACTCATATTCATCAACATGCGCATCCGGGGTGGGGTGGGGTGGGGGCGGGGTAGGGTGGGGTGGGATATTCACATGCGCACCAGAATGGGGACGATCAGTGACACGAGCACAGAATAATGACGTTCGGGTGGGGTGGTGTAGGGTGGGGTGGGGTGGGGTGTTATCGTCCTTTCACATGCGGACCAGAATGATCTGTATTAATTACTGTATTACTTCATGTCTTAGCCCAAAGCAAAAATCCACTGCACAAGCGTGTGAAAAACCCAGTGCAAAAGCGAGGGAAAAATCAAGTGCACAAGCGAGTGCTCGCCCCTGTACATATATATATAATTATAATATATATATATATATTCGTTTGGCATTGTGTTCTGAGTATTTGGCGGTAACCTGTTGAAGGCCTGCAAAAGGACCACAAATTCAGTAGTGCTACTTCGAAACATGTCAAAAACAAACAAAAGTTCGGAGGTAACTGAATATATCGTTGAACCCTTCAAACTATTTGGAAGCACCAAGAGTCCGCTTCAGTGAAACAGTTTTCCCAAATTCCACCATACTGTTGGGTCTGCAGTGCTGTATGCTTTTCTTGCAACATGAGACGTCTCGCGTTTTCAAGGTCTTGCCCTGACGTGCGCATACGACACCCAAGCAAAAATACGTAGTTGCAATTATGGAAATTACCCGATCCAAATTAACTACATCAGCTACATATATGGAGCTTTCCAAATTATCATCAATTTTTAAAAGGATTGATTGTCCATTATAAACCATCCATTTTGGGGTAGCCCATTTATGGAAACCCCCATATGATGGCACATAGCATTAATCATTAATCCCTTCCACCACGACACCGAAGCCCAGTCATTCTCCTCGCTTTCCGTCAGCTGCAGAATCACCACATCCTCGAAGGTAGGTATACCATGGTCTTGGCTTCTTTAAATAGGGAACATGATGATGAATGTTGTTGTCTATATTTGTCTATTCAGGTCGGCAGTTTCTCTTTTCCGAACACCTCTTTTCTGTGGGTCAGAGGGTTTGGGTCAAAGGAAGCAAGCAGCTAGGCTCGTGCCGTGGCTCAATCTGCATTTGTCCTGCCAGATGCTGCCATGCCCACAGAACAACTTCATCTCAACTAAAAAATCCCAATCAATCGATCTGGAGACCTGTCCCAATCCACGAGTAAAAGATCCACGCCATAAAGGTGCTGGAAGCCCTGGGCTCACATGGATTCAATGCTTTCCAGCCGACTGGCTTAACCTCAATGCTGCTGTACATCTGCCTTAAAGGAGACAACAAACAACACCTAAAATCAAATTTTAAGGTGAACAAACAACCTATTGATGCAGCAGTGCGGTAATGTCAGCCTTGGCTTAATATACCTTGACTCATTTTTAGATACTCCGAAACAACATTGCGAATAAGTATTAAATTTGCACCCCCTTCAACCAGTTGATTAAATTGGTACCCCTTCAGCCACTGGTTTATTGAGAGCGTTTATTAATTGCTACCAGGTAACATTCTCAACAACATTATGAATAAATAAACTGGTGATTTAGCAATGAACCCTGGGTTGATTAATTGGTAACCCAACTGATACCCCCCGCTCATCCCCATGAAACCCAAAAAAAATCGATGGATTTTTAGCGGCGATACCCCATGGTATGCCCCTTTTTTGCTTGGGGATGCAGTTCCAATTTGAATTGGACACGCACACATACACACACACACATATAAATATATATATATATAATGTATTATACATATAGCTTAACCAACTCCGTGTTACCGAAGTAAACCCAATAACAAGCAATGCCCGATCTTGGTTTATTATTGATTGTGCCCCTATTTGGTATGAACAACGACTCCCAGTCATCCTTGGCTGCGAATCATTGGGTTTATCGACACCCTTATCATGGGCGTGAAAATGTTTGGAAATCTTAAACCCTGATTTCTGAAAGGTTTCTTAGCACCAAACCCCCTATCTCTAAATTTACTGCTGGATTTTCCATCTTGGCTGCGCCATTCAGGCGGCATGGCGCCGTCCCGGTGGGTCTCCCGACTCGTTCCTCCTGCGCCTTGGCGACTTCCAAACGTAGCGCTGCGACCTGGTGAATCATAGTCACTGTTCATTGGCCATCTCAGGAACCGAACAAAAATGGAGGTGCCTTATATGTGTGGCCTATTTTTTAGGCCTAAATTTTTGGGAATATCCCCACACAATATGGCCTCATATGGTACTAACGTATCTACATTTTAGGATCCTAAAATTGCCATTGAACTGTTCAGCAAATCGGTAGGTCACGGGGGTATATAGCCGGGTCATATGTTATAATAAGCTCTAATAACCACAAGTAAATGGAATTAAAATCCAACAACCCAACATGATCTAACCTGTATCGGTTATGATAAGCCTTAATAAGCGCTAGTAAATGGAATTAACAAATACTATACACCAACAAGAACCTAACATGTGGGTTTCACAAACGAAATATTGGGCTTAACTCACTGGCAACGAATGGGACATGTATTGTACCTGATTGAAACCAAGGAAACGAACCAATAAGATCAATCATGATTAATCATACAACCAATTGGAATTTGGAATTTACCAACCGCTCATGGAACGCAATGGGGCAGAATTTGGCTTTAAACAACAAATTTGGCCAGATATGATGCACTAGTTTTTGTAATCATGGGACATGTATGGTAGTTCATGAAAAATAAGGCCATCTGGGGGATGATGTTTCCCTACTATGCATCATAAAAATCGAAGGATCAATAAAACTATGCATCAAGAAATATCAGTAATGTCAATTAAATATATCCATGCTGGATAAATCAAAGGCGCGAACGTTGGGATTACAATGGATTACATATGACCAATGGTTGAAATCATATGAAGTGAACACATTGCGGGAATTCACCAAAAACTATGGGAGATCATGGGGTTAAATATGTGGGTTAAATATGGTTAAAATCAGTGTTTTTAGGCCCAGCGGGAGCAAACAATAATTGTGGGTACATCAGGATGTAGTTGGATCCAGGGAATCGTGGAGATTCATGGCGCATGGAAAATAACCACGTAACTGCCACGATTTTTTAGCCCGTTTGCACCATTCATTGATTACCAGCCCCTCAACAGCTATACCCTACCATGAGCTGTGGGTTGCAAGACTACTTTCCTCTAAAAATAATTAAGGTTTCGGCTATTCTCACTGTCAAACCGTGACTGTAAGCGGGGTGGTGCCACCAATTGTGTGATAGCTGAATCCCATTTATTGATATATATATATATGTTTTTATGACCCGTCTATGATCTTCTATGCCTTTGGTTATCCCTATATATTTGGACTAATTGGGCTCATGTGGTAAACTGAGAAAGGGGCTGTATAAACCATGAAACATTGGAGATTTGC